GTCCAGTCTGGGGTTTAATGACAGACTTTAAACAAAGGGATCCAGGAACACACACATGTGTTAGTGAGCTAATGTTTAAACAGCTGAACTTTTGTCCTTAACACGAAACAAAAAAGCGTAGAAGAAGACCTGCTTTAGATAAGGAGCTGTCCATCATGACCTGCCACAAAGCAGGAGCTCTAAATAATGAGGACATTTATGTTCAAGAGGTAAAGTGACGCTTGCGCAGCTCTGCATGGAGCCGAGCGTCGTGTTTGCAGGAGGGAGGCACCTGAAGCGGTGACACCAGGCAGGTCATGAGCTTCAACACATCTAACCCGCACTGGGAGTCGGATCATTTTGGACATTTATCCATGAAAGCATGACTGCAGGGAAAACAACAACAGGTGCTGAGAAACAGATAACAAGGAGAGTTAAAGAGCAACCTTGAAAAACAGGATGAATAGATGAATTTTCTACTTTATTGAACATGTCACTTCCCTCTTCCTCCCTCCACAAAACACACACACACGTCTCTGTCACCGGATCCTGAGACGATGGTTTGTGCAACAAGGTGGGATTTAGACTTAAGTGCAGGCCGATCAATCGAGCTGTAATGGTACCTTAGTGCCAAGGCCGTTCTCTGAACCCTGCAGTCAATACCAGCAGCAGGTAATGGTCCTGAATTCAGACTTTTCACTCACCAACAGGAGCATTTCAACAAACAGAGCCTCTTTCACTCATCTGCACGTTGTTTTATTAGAATAAACAAGCCAGGAGGAGGGAACCAGTCTAATGTCATGTCTCTCTTAGGTTTTCTCACTTTTCTCTCTATAAAAATGTATAAAAATTACAACGTACGCTACAATTTATGGTGATTTTCATTATACTGTTCTTAATAATCGGGTGAAATGATCAGAATGCAGGTTACTTTTTAAATTATTTTGCAACAGCAATGATCCAAAGATGAATGAAACCCACTGGAGCTGTAGGAGGTGCATGGCGAGAACCATAAAAAGCAAGAACAACAAAACAGGTTAAATCTGGACCAGGTAAGTGAGAAACGTTTCATCCAGAGGACTTCTTCAGTCTACAGCCTGCCGACCAGATCTGTCCCAGCCTTCACTGCTGTGTTTCAAACCAACCTCCTGCTGGAATCTGAAAAAAATAGGCTTTTAACACAAAACAATCAAAACTTCTTCTTTTTTAAAATAAAAAGCAGGAACAACAACAAGCTGACTGAAGCCACACACTGTGCAGTAAAGGATCTAAGTTTGCAAACTGTGTCATTTAGAGCATTTTATTTTTTCCACTTGCACACACCCGCTGTGCCTGCCCGACGACCCGAAAGCAAAACAACACAGGAGCAGCTCGCTGCAACGCTTCGGCTGTGGAATCAGGCAACAAGCCGCAGATTACACACCCCGGCTGAATGTTAATACTGTGCATATCTGTGGAAATCTGAAGCGTGAGATTCCACTGGGCTTTGTGCTCGCGCCCATTTCATTTTCAATATCTTTCCGCCTGGGGGAGATGCACTTTGTTTTACACTGATATGCTTTTTGTCTGCTCGCTTTGTGTCTGGGCAGAAGAAATCAGTGCACTGAGGTGGTGGCGTGATGCTCGTGTGGTCTTCAGCCTTTCTTTTCACACACAGTACTGTACATCCTGCAGGCAAAGCAAAGACTCAAGTTCAAAAAATCTTAAGAAACACAAACTAATTTCACTTTTTGTGGTTGATTCTTTTCAAATATCATCTTTTTAATCGTTCAGGTGTACTTACGTTAACATTTTATCCTCTGCCACTATGACATGCTAGCAATCATTACTGCCTTCATCATGTGTTCATTGGACTCATTGTCTGTTAGCAAAATATCTCATGAACTACTAAAGAGATTTTGATGAAACTCTCAGGTAACAATCAGTGGATGCACCTCTACAGCTGTTCAACTTTCATCATCAGTCCAATTTAAGATGGCTGTCACAGCTAATCATTTTGAGAAAACAAAGAAACGTCTGTAATTCAGTCAATTTAGCAGAAATTGGGCTAACAATTGGTGTGAAAGTAGCTGAAAGTCATCCTCAACACAGAGATCATACAAATTCTGTTTAAAACTTCTGCTTTCATGGCAAAGAGGATGTTCGACAGTGGCACCAAACTGGTGGTAAACATCAGAGAGCTCAGAAGTGATGCAGTCCAGGTGCAGTGATGGCTTCTTTTTATCACCATGATATGTGCACAACTTAAAACTTAAAAGAAGCATTGCAAGGATTGTGTCAGCACACACAAAAACAGTTAATTACCCTGTTAACTGTGTAACATTCATCAGTCTATATTGCTAGTAACAATATTAGGAGCATAAACACCATTAAAATCTAATTTAACATTAATCTGAACAAACTCAATCATTGCTATACCTTTTCTCGGTGTGTCTTAATATTTTTCAACCACCTGAAATACTCCTTAGTAGTTCAGCAGTAGTTTATTTTTTTGGAATCCGTCCAGACGACCTGACTTAACTTTGTTAGATTTTATTGAGCGTGCGTCAGGATATCCTCTGTAGTTATTATTCTTATTCTTCCTTGGTGAAATATCCACAGAAACCCGGCGATGAACAATGTTACCTGTCTCTAAGAGGCGATAACTGAGGTTATCAGGTAATGATGCGCTTCCTGTTCCTGCAGTCCCACTGAACAGAAACTTCCTGTCCTGATGACAAATGACATCATCCGTGCTCCTGACAAACAGCGACAGCTGCATCATGCACAAAGTGTTTTATTTCCCAGGCTTTGCACAGCCGCCTCGTCTTCATGCAGCAGGCGAGGTCAGAGACCGTATGCGCAAAAGTAATTTAGTAAATTTGTGTATGTGTGTGACAGGAGCTGTGTGTGTGTGTGAGTGTGTGAGTTGTGGAGAGGGCCGGCAGATGATGCCGTTTGGATGCAGGACACACAGATATATATTTGTGGCGAGGCAGGATTGCCTCGTTGCATGTCAATGAGCTTCCGTGTCAGTCCCATGTGATTACCGGGAGAAATGACACAACTCAGCCTTTCAGCCCTCTGAGGTGCACCATGGCAGGAGGAGACGGGAGGCTCACACTGAAGGAGGGATCATTTGGGGGGGATTGATGATCTCAGATAATCTTGGGTTTAGCTGTCACTCCACACACTCACACCATGTGTGTGTCCTTATTGCTGCCAAATCCAACAACCCCTTAATGGAATGATGGCAAGCACCCCCCCCCCCCCCCAAAAAAAAAAGAAAACACCACTGCTTTCTAGTTATATTGATTTTTATAGAAATGTGTGTCTTCCTGAACATGAACTCAGATACTTCACTAATTCATAAGGCCACTATCAGTGTGAGACTCAGTAAAGACCCTCTGTCCAATATGGCTCCCAGGGGTCCCAATAAGCAGCATCAGGAGACCACATACACACACAGACACACACACACACACACACACACACACACGGGCACACAATGGTTCTCTTTTAATGAGTGTATCTGAGAACAAAAGCTGATAAAAATGCACGCCATGGCTCAGCTGTTAAAAAGGGAATAAGAAATCAGCTTCTGTGCAGCCACACAGCATGCCTAATCACCTTTCTGTGCACATGCACCGAGCATACTTCCACATACTGTACTTGTGTCACGCTCGCATCTCGAGCACAGAATTACACCAATTTGCTCTTCACACAGGAACCTCAAAACATATAAATATATGAATATTAGATAAGTGTGGATGATACAGTTAGTCTCTTCTGCAGAGGCCTTCAGGCTTATTTTTATTTTCGTGTTAGCTGTTTTGAAAAAAAAATATCCTGGAAGATTTCTGACTTCTTTTTTTTAAAATCTGTGTCACCTGTTGTATTTTGTAGTCTGTCAACATTCACAAACTATAATCAGTAATCTTTTGAGGCTCAGCTAATTTCTCAACTGTCTCAAATAACAGGTGATCTTTGCTGATCCCTTATGTCTCCACTAGGGGGCAGTGAAACTCCACAGATGGCTGAGGAACTGTCCAGACTGGCTTTAGTGCAGTTTTTATGAGTTGTGGTCAGTCAGACCTACCCAGGAAGTTCCCCATCATATTAGCAGGTGGAGCTGTGAGTTTGACTAACAGACTGAAGGGAAATATTTTTGTTACTACAGCAAATCTGTCGTCTTTTATTTCTGCTGCAGTTAGTCCTCTTGTTTAGAGAGGTGTGTTGACACACTATTACTGCCGGATGGTAATTGACACTCTTTCTGTGTGTGTGTGTGTGTGTGTGTGTGTGTGTGTGTGTGTGTGTGTGTAAGTACAGATGCATCAGAGGCTGTCACTCAGCTGTAATTAGGAAGAGTCTCTCCTGCTGTCCTCTGACAGGCTTTGAATTTACCTTGCAAATACTGTGCAAATTGTGTGTGTGTGTGTCTGTCAGTGTGTGTGAGAGCGTGTGTGGGCACAACTTATTACGACGGCATATTTAATCAGCTGGTAAATGTTTTCGTTAATAGGCCCCCGTCTCTTTTTATGCACTCCCATTTTGGACTCAGTTCAGTTTTTAGTTCATCATGCAAACTGTTTCGTGTGTCCATCTGCCTTTCAGTGTGTGTGTGTGTGTGTGTGTCAGAGTGCGTGCATGACAGGCTGCTGGAGTGTCTGTGCGGGTGAAGGGGGGCCTGTGTGTGATGTTTAGAGTGGGGATCACATTCAGCCCGGGGGTAGGTGAGTCTATTGTAAACAATGGATCTGACAGAATCTAGGCCTTCACATCTCCAACCCTGGGTGTATGGCTGTGTACACGTGTGTGAGTGTGTGTGCACGTGTGTGTGTAGGAGCAGACCTTCATGCAAGGCCAGTGAAGGCCACAGAGGCACCCTGGGGCAGACTGGCCTCTCTGACAGAGTGTCTTTGTACCTACTTTCTCCAGAGGCTCCTTGTGTTTGAGGTGAGGCAGAGGAGGAAGAGGAGGAAGAGGAGGAAGAGGAGCGGGTTCAAGGTGTGTGTGAATGCGGCCATGGCCGGTACCCCATGAGAAGGTGCACAGTGGAAGAGAGACAACAGGAGACGGAGACGACCGGCAGGTGAAATGAATTTATTTGAGTGAGATGATGACAGCTGTCTGTGCTTTGCTTGAATCAACTGTTTCATCTGATCAAGTTCACGTCACCAAGTTAGAACAATTATTACGTTCTGAGCAAAGACTGTCCAACTAAACACTTACCAGCTCACATGAGGGGAAGTTTTGTAAATAGAGAAAATAACATGTTCAGTCTTGTTCACCATAAATCCATCAGTGATTCTTCGATACAGTTAATAGATCATTATTTAGTTACAGTATTTAGCTCAGTTTAGTTTATTTATATGGTGCCAACTCACAGCAAAGTCATATTAGGACAAATTTAAAGCAGCCAGGTGCAATGCAGATATTTGATCTGCTTTTTATCTGAATAATTAATTATTATCTGGTTTTAATTGATTTTTCTTAAAACAGCAACAACACAACATCATGTTATTATTATTGTTATTATGATTATTATTGTTATTATTATTATGAACAGCATTGAAGTTTTGGAAAGTGCAGCTATAGATTTGATACCAGAATATTTGTTTTTAGGTTTTCTGGTATTTTAATATTTATTAAAATTACAAATATGTTACATTAAGAAGTCCAATTCCCGGAACAAGTAATAATCTTTAGAATTAGTCAGTGTTTAAAATAATTAGATGTGATCACACCATGTTGCTTTTGAGCTTGTTTTTTGCTGAAACTTGACCCCAAAGTGGTGAAAAAAAAAGCGTGAAATAAAAATAAATAAAATAAATACTGCAGCTCATCATGTCTGCGCAAACATTCTGACCTCAGTTCTCGTCTGTTGATCAGTTTTTTATTTTTTCCTTGACCTTTGCCCTTCACTTTGTTTCTGTTCCTTCAGAGTGCTACAGTTTTGTTGTTTATCTCATGGCCTCCTTCTCCTCCTCTCCTCCTTCTCCTCCTCTCGTCCCCTCAGGATGAATCTGAGGGGAAGGTCAGCTTGGCCTTGGCAGGTGGCCTTCCTTGTTGCCGTGGTGATGCTCTGGGTCGACCCGGTGTCTGCAGGCAGTCGTAATCATCGGGGACCGACAGGTACGCCAGGTCTCGCTCTGAATCCCCCCTCCACCACTACGAGAGGTTAATTACGCTGTCATTTCAGAGGCATAACATGTGTTCCCCGGAGCCGGCGGGACTGAGCCGTCGACATCATAGGGCGGCGGGGGTGGAGGGGAGCTCTGCCTCAGTATGACAGATTGTAATCTAGACCTTGTTGTTGCTTCCAGACAAAACCTCCGTTTGAGTGATTCAGCTTCTTCAGATACAAATGACACTTTAGCTGTCAGAGAGTGTCAACACAGACACGTCAGCCTGAGTGAGACGTGCGATCTGTTCAAGAGGGAGGAGGTGCAGCTATTCACACATTGTTCTGCAGCTCTTAACCTACATTAAAATAAGTCACATCCCTTAAGTGAAATGATCCGTCTCCATCATGTAAAGTCCCTTTTTGACGAAAGCACTAAAGCACATTAAGGCCAAGTCTGGTTTTCTTATCCCTTAGTTTCCAAAAGTCCTGGAGAAAATGTAAGAACTGATCAGTGATTCTCACCAAGTGACTACAGAGACAATTATATTGAGTCACAGCAACTTATGCCACATGTTGGCTCAAACTTTTCATGCCACACATTTAATTATGACAATTTTCCTTAATTATGTCTCAGTTTCTCCCTGTTTCCTGCTTGTGTTGAGCAGGGTGACCTTTACAGGCCACAGAAATGCTACCAGCATCCAGTCTCTCAGTGACTGATTGTATTAGTTTCCTTTTATCAGGAAAAAAGAGGAGGCTGCCTGCTTACGGCTGGGACACTGCTAATTGCAGGCCCCGTGGATTGTGAAGGTCAGCATCACTGCTTGCATACCCCCCCCCCCCCCCCCATGTCTCACTCAGAAACAAGATATCTTGCTCTCGAATGGACAAGTGCTTTTCATTTGATGGTTCAGCTCTAATTGGAGGAAGTTTAGGACCTGTCGTCTGTGAATACCAATAAAACACAGATTACAGTGTGAGGCAGAAAAATAATTGGGTGCATGTTATGGCTGTGCTGGATACAGTTTCAATCTTTTCCTCTTAAACTCGTTGGCTCCTGTTTTGTTGCTTGAGCAGTGGTTGATTTAAGATGTTTTACCAGCACCCACCACCAGAGGGCACTATAAGGCAAAGAATGTTGACGCAAATGCATTAATATACTGTACATGAAGTACCTGGAAATACTGTGTATATATATATATATATATATATATATACAGACACACACACACACACACAACTCTTACTAAAAAGACTGAGGACTGAGTTAAGAATATAATATTTATTTGTTTATTTTTTAATTCATTTATTTATTTAATTTAAAACAACTTACTGTTCAGTGAAACAGTGTTTTTTTTCTAGAAATATGGATACTTTTTCCTGTTTTTGAAAAGTTTCAGCTTCTCAGCAATGCGTGAATCATCTATTACTTCTTAAAGTGTCCAACAGCTAGATTATTTATTTATTTATTTATTTATTTATTTATTTATTTATTTATTCCCCCCCACCCACCCCACCCACCAGTTGATCCAACAGTGCACAGGAGAAAACACTTCCTGTGAGTTGATTTCATTGAATCACACCACAGTAAGAAGTATGAGGCTCCTCATCAACACAAGCACTTAAAAACAACAACAACAACAAAACAAACAAACAAACAAAAACTTTTACTGTCATTTTAAAAGTTTTTCCTGTTTTTATGCAGAGGATCATAAAACTGGGTGCAACAAGCACTTTAATCACCTGTCAAAGCTCGGATGTTGTCCTGCACTATTTTTCACAGTATTCAAACAAAAAGTTTTATTGTCTTTTCTTTTAAAATAAAAAGAAACAACGCACGTTACTGAGCATGTGTTCACCCTGGAAATATGTCAGATCTAACTGAAAGAATAAGCTTTTCTCTGTATAGTTCCTTGCAGGTTACAAGAACAAAAAACAAAGAAACAACAACAACAACAACAACAACAAAAACCCAAGGTTGAATAAAATATAAAATCACAAAAAGTATAAACATTCATGCAGAGCATCATCTCATCCTATGGTAAGACACAGAACTGAAATGTGTAATCTATATCAATAAGCACTTTAGTCTGTGTGTGAATGGGTGAATGAGAAACACTGTTTTAACCTGCAGAGGTTTAGAAACGTCTATATTAGTGAGGACCATTTGACCATTTTATATAACATGATGCAGATTCACAGGTTTGATGTTCCTTCAGCTGATATTAATGAAATAAGTGGAGAACTCTCTAAGAGTTGAAGGTAAACTCTTTCAGTATTTACAACTTTTATCTGACGACACAAGTTGTCCAAATGTGAAACGTCTGCAGAGCTCCTCATCCTCACTGTCAGTGCTTGTCTTCACTAACACACTTCTGCATTGACACAATGGTTTAAGGGCGGTGGAGGAAGTCTGTGTAAAACCGTAGACATGAAATGAGCGTATTTAAAACTAAGAACATTCTTAAAGCATAATAAAAACAATTCCAAAAGGTTATAATAAAGACATGAAAATAGGTTTCCGTCAAGAACTTTTGAGGCTTTCATAAAAACTATGCTCAGATTTACCCTCCAGCTGCCCTTGGGTCAAGAACCTTAGTTTTAAAACCAAGGTGTCGTGGGTCATTTTGACCCAAGGGCAGCAGGAGGGTTCAGTAAAACAATAAACTGCATTCCAGGAGGTTTTAACCAGTTCAGCTTGACTCATCCTTTTCACTGCATAAATCAAATTTCAGACTTTGTAACTGGTAGGTGTACATTTTTTGATAAAACACCGCTCTCCTGCAAACTCCTTGATGAGCTGTGACAACGACATCTGCTGCTCACTTTTTCATCCACTGTGAATGTTTAAAATGAGATTATTTAGGTCGTTCCACAGCTGATAATCCACCATATGGACTCCCATCACAGCTTGTTACAGCCTGCATGACAAACCCAACACTTCTACACAACAACCACCGCAGCTTTCAGAGATCCACGGAGTGACAGCCAGACCCTGTTTGCAACCACAACCGCACCTTCGTGCACATTTAAAACGTTTCTGTCACGTTTGTGCATATTTAGTAGAAGTGAGCGTTTGATCTCCATCTGCTTGTCCATCTATTTCATGCGCAGCTGCTTGTTTGTCCTGACGGTGTATTTATACGAAATAATTAGAGCAGACAAGGTGAAGTGAGCACATCTTAATGGGGATAATTTTGCAGCCGAGCGGCCCTCATCTGCAGCAGAGAACTGAGAAGATAATCCACATTAATCTGGGAGGGATAGCACAAGGCGGGTGGAGGACCAAGGATTTGGAGGAAGGAAGTAAAAGTGTGTGAGGGCTTAAAGACAGCAGACAAGACGACGAACGACAAGCTGATGAACAACAATAAGCAGACATCTCAACATGCATTTGAAACCGTCTCTGCTGAAGCGCCCTCGGAGCTCCTGCAGTGATTGCAGAGCTTCCTCTCTGTTTTTACGACCTCTGACAGAGTCGCCTGATTCCTGGCCTTTCAAAGCGGCGGACATGCTTGTCAGGTATTGACAGGGGAAAGACAGAGCTTTTTGATAAATTGCACAATGCTCCCGCTCGCCTGTGTCTGTCAGAATACATCAGTCGCCTGACTAACCCATCAGTTCAAGGTAGCCTGAATGCCCAGCTTTTGTTACAGCCCCCGACACGCCGCCTCCCTCCTGACTGCCACAGGAATAGAGGCATTTAGCCATGCTTGAGAAGTCTTTTCATCGCAGCGTGTTAGGCTCTATTACACTGATATGGCCATAACAGAATGCTTTAAAAGCAGCACAGAGACATTGTGCTCAGTGTTATTCTGTGTATATAGCTGGAGGCAGGATGCTCAACACATAAACCGTTAGCAGACGAGGGCTGAAGGCAGCAGGGCATTAAACAGGAGGCAGAATATCATTCACACTTGTTCGACTTTCTTTGTTGTTTTTTAGTTATGAAACTTTTTACACCAACTGGTATATTTATTTTCTATTTAAACAGATTGGTTTGGTCTTTTAACTGAAACACCTTATGTTTGTTTAAACATGTCTGGATTTGCTTCTTGCACGAATGTTTATGAAGCATTCACACTATTGTGATCCATATTTCTTCCGTACGGTTTTCAGCATCTTTCTCGTTCCACAATGTTTGTGCCTTTTCAACAAATCATGAATCAAAACATTCAGCTCATTCAGAACAATCCTGCTATGGATTTTGGTATTGGTGCAACTTTAGCTTTTTAAAATATTTAGCCTTTTCTGACACTTTTTTGCTCTTAGAAAATGAACTGAGCTCATTTTACATCCTTCAAATCTTTAAATGTGTTTACAACCTTTTACTGCTCTTTCACATTTTGTTCTGCTTCAGCTTCTTTCAGCTTCTTTGTGCTAATTTAACTTCTTTTCAGCTACATTCAAATAATTTCAGCTGTTTTTCAGCTGTTTTGTGATCCTTTCAGGTTCTTTCTGCTAACTACAACATTTTTGTGCTTCTTCTAACTACTTTCTTCTCATTTCAGCTTGTTCTGCAAGTTTCAGCTTTTTCTGCTATTTCAGCTACTATTTAGCTGCTTTTATGTTAATTTTAGGTTTTTGGCTAATTCTATGGTTTTTTCCCCACTCACTTGAACTTTTTCAGCCTAATTCAGCAAAAATCTGCTCTCTCCACTTACTTATAATTTAAGTAAGTGTAATTTAAGTAATTTAAGCTTATTTCTGCCTTTTTAGCTACTTTTCAGCTATTTGTCTCCTAATCTCAGCTTTTTCAGATTATTTCCACTTTTTTTGTGCTCATTTCTGCTTCTTTCTACCTAATTGGGCAAATGTGTTCTTTCTGTGTTATTCTACTGTTTTAAGCTTGTTCCATCTTGTTAACATTTTTTAGGTAATTTCAGTTGTTTTCAGATAATTTCAAGTTTGTTGTGGTAATATCTGTTACTTTCAGCTCAATTAATTTCTTTATGCTAATTTCAGCTTGTTACACTCTTCTCGGCTTATTTATGCAAATTTCAGCATT